ATTAAAAAGGTAATATTTTGAAATCTATGAATCAAATAGAAATATTTAAGAATATGGATGATTAATTTTTCCGTTTATTTTATTTTAGTCCTTAAATTTTAAATTTTATTTTATTTTAATTTTTACATTTTTAAATTAAAGACAAAATTTTGTGATATAAGATTTAAAAATACCAACACTAATATAGAATTTAGGAGATAATAAGAATTAGTCTATAAAACAAAAATATAAACTCAATCAATAATCTCACTTTTAAGGTCATTGAATCTCCCATTTATTTAAATTGCGATATAAAATATAAAATAAAGTGAGAAGTAAATAATTTAATTTCCATTTTGATCCTTTATTTTCTAACTTTTTCCATTTTAGTACTTTCATATCAATAAACTTAAAAATTAATTTTTATGAAATTGATAAAATAATAACCATATTTATTTTTAAAAAAAATTAACGGTAGAAACTAACTTTAAATTTTGTTTTAATATTTAAAAAAAATTGAAAAAAAAATATAAGAAAATATTTTTAAAATAAAGGAAATCTGGGGGGTCAAGCAATCAAGAGTGTGCATGAACCTAAAAAGTTGGATGAATTTTCAACCAAACATTAAAAAAAATAAAAAATTAGAAAAATTAAGAGCCAATCAAACACGTCATTAAACAAATAAAACAATAAATTGTTTTCAAAGCATGTTATTTCCAACTGTCCAATAATATTAAATAATTAATAATAAAAAATAATAAGCAAAACAGCTGTAGGATTTGTTGTCCCATTCCTCAAAATCAGGTTTTTAATTAATTAATTAAATCATATGGAAAAAAAATATGGCAACAGATCAGACGGTCAGAAATGGCTGCTGTCTTGTCCCAAAATTAGAGATTTAGTTAAAGAAAAGAAAAAAGATTACAAATCAGGCAGAGACAGCCAACCAAATCTTTCCAAATATCTATTTTAACAAAATACCAATAATTTTTTTATTATGACGTCCATATATATCAATTACCGCTAAATAGATTAGAATATTATCAACTTAAATATTGATATGTTGCATGATGAAAGTCCCACATCTGCTAATTTAAAAATAGACTATGTTGAATGATGAAAGTTCCATCTGCTAATTTAGAGAATGATCATGGGTTTATAATTAAATAATATTTTTTCTATTGTTATGAGACCTTTTGGGGAAGCCCAAAGCAAAGCCATGAGAGCTTATGCTCAAAGTGGAAAATATCATACCATTGTAGAGAGTCGTGTTCGTCTAACTTGGTATCAGAGTCATGCCCTAAACTTATTCGTGCCAATAGATTAGTAAATCCTCAAATATCGAACAAAGGACTCTAAAAGAAACGGAGTCGAGTCTCCTCGAAGGCATAGTAAAAAATGACAAGACTCCAAAGGAGACGAGCCTCGATTAAGGGGAGACGTATTTTGTTCGAGGGGAGGTGTTGGATGATGAAAGTCCCACATCGACTAATTTAGGGAATGATCATGGGTTTATAATAAAAGAATTCTCTTCGTGAGTCATTTTGTGAAGCCCAAAGCAAAGCCATGAGAGCTTATGCTCAAAGTGGACAATATCGTACCATTGTGAAGAGTCAAGTAAACAAAAATAAATAATTTAAATAAGTAATTTTTATATTAGCATTAAGAAAAAATTACGGCACAATTACACGTAATTAATATTCAAACATATCTCTTATAAAAGATAAAAATGTCTGAACTATGGACGAATTAGTCATTAAGGATAACATTGACCAACTTTTCCTTATAATTAGAATACTTTTCCTAAATTCTTTTCCTAAAAGAGATAATTTCGAACCAAGCAGATTAAAAGTGAAATTTTTTTATAAACTAAAAAAAAAAAAAGGAATTTTAGGACTTTTTTGATAAAAATATTTTTAAATGAAACGTTTCATTTATTAGCTATCCTTAAGGAGGGAGGAAAATATATAAATATATTTACAGGCAGTATATAAATTATTTTTAAAACTCAATGAATTAAAACAAACAAAATTTTCTATAAATGAAGAAAGAACATTGATAACATAAATTAAAGAGTGGCCAATGAAATTAGGAGAACCATATAAATTTAAAATCAACGAAAAAGAAAACGACAAGCAGAAGGTGGGAGCTTTGATCCTGTAAGACGAACGATCCTCAAATCCAGTCTGAAAAAAAAAAGCTGCTTCGCCTCCTCGTGCTGAGGCCGTCGCCGAATAACCCACTCTTAGTGTCTCGATTCTTTACCAAAACCCTGATTCTCAGTTTCGTTCCCAAGATCTGTGATCGAAGAACAGGTTTTTTGGATCGTGTTGTTCCTATTTGGGTTGTTAAAAGAAGCTTTGGTGCGTAAAAATGGAGGTGGGATCGATGCAGAGACAGTGGGTTCAGTATATAAAATCATGGCTGGGTGAGGTAAAACTCAAAATCTGAACTGGGTTTTGTTTTGTTTTGGTTATGAATCTTATTTTTGTTCTGTTTTTTGTGGGTTTTGGTGAGAAAAGGGGACTTTGGATGGTCAGTATTTGCAGCTTTTGCAACTGCAAGATGAGAGTAATCCAACTTTTGTTTCTGAAGTGGTGACTCTTTTCTTTGAAGATACCGAGGAGCTTCTCAATAAACTCAGCCTTGCTTTGTAAGGACTCACTCAGCCCCTCTTTGGCTGTTTCTCTTGGAGTTTTGTTTTCTCTCTCTCTCTCTCTCTTTCTTGAATCAGTATCAAGTTTCATCGATCATTGATTTGTGCAGATCTTTGGATGAATCGTTTTATGTTTCTTGTGTGTTTTTGGTTTGTTTTTTGTTAGATCACAGCCAAGTGTGGACTTCAAAAAGATTGATGATCATGTGCACCAGCTTAAGGGAAGCAGCTCTAGGTACTCTATTTTCCTTCTCTCTCCCTATGAATGGATATGACTGATAAGAACATTTCTACGTCTTTTTACAATTTGAAGAACATTTTTGCCTGCCAATTTGAAGAATCTCTCCCTCCCATGTGTTATTGTGAGATCTCACATCGGTTGGGGAGGAGAACGAAACTGTGAGTTCCAACGAAGCATGTCTTATAAGGATGAGGAAACTTTTCCCTAGTGGACGCATTTTAAAACCTTGAGGGGAAGCCCGGAAGGGAGAAGCCCAAAGAGGATAATATCTGCTAGCGGTGGGCCTGAGCTGTTACAGAAACATTCTTTATAAGGGTGTAGAAACCTCTTGCTAGCGGTGGGCTTGAGCTGTTACAGAAACATTCTTTATAAGGGTGTAGAAATCTCTCCCTAGTGGACGCATTTTAAAAACCTTGAGGAGAAATCCGAAAGGAAAAGTCCAAAGAAGACAATATCTACTAGCAGTAGACTTGGGCTGTTACAGAAACATTCTTTACAAGGGTGTAGAAGCCTCTCCCTAGCAGATGTGTTTGAAAAACCTCGAGGAGAAGTCCGAAACGAAAAGTCTAAAGAGGACAATCTCTGGTAACGGTGGACTTAGACTGTTACCGTTTGACTCAAAAGGACTCTATGGACTGTTGTGCAAGACCAATCATTTGAAACCGTTTTTAACCATGGAAATCAAGATAAGATATTCATGATGCATATCAAATCTAAAAGTCACGGAGAAAATGCTGACCTTGTGTTGTTGTGTTTGTTGTTTTTTGACTCCTCTGTGGGCAATGTAGCATAGGTGCACTTAGAGTGAAAAACGCCTGCATTGCCTTCCGGAATGTCTGCGATCAACAGAGTGCAGAAGGGTGAGTTATTTTCACTATTTGATTGATCTTTCAAAACTGTTCTTCTCAATCAATAAACTGTTGTTTGCTGCAGGTGTTTAAGATGCCTGCAACAAGTACAACAAGAATTCTATTGTGTCAAAGAGAAGCTCAGTTACCTATTTGCTGTGAGTAGTAGAGCTCTCTGATACTAAGGCCATTTCTTCTTGTCATCTCATCTTTACACCGTTCGGTTTCTCGAACAAAAATGGATAAATTGACTCGAAACTTTGTTTACTGCAGCTCGAAAAACGGATTTTGAATGCTGGAGGATCCATTCCAATGGACTTGGGGTCTTAAACTGAAAAAATCCATGAACCAAGATTTTCATTTGTTCTTGTGGAATCTCCTTTCTCTTGTTCTTCTTTAGGTTCTCAAATTGACTGTTACTTGTGCTTGTACAAATTCAAAGCCTTTTCCCTTTTCCCTCAGAACATCATTGCTTTCTACAGCTGAATTTTCGACTTTTCTGTGTCTTTGAGCTTAACTATTTGTTATGTATGGAGTCCTAGAAGATTTCTGGGTGCTTTCAAAGAGGCAAATACTCTCTTCATGTCTTTGTTCCCTTTGTTTTCTGCTAATCAAAACATATTGATCACATTTCTGGGTCTAGTTTGAATTTTCTTGGACTTCAACTCTATTTGGAATGAAGTAATGCAAACTATGGACTAAGTAGGCAGGCATCGAACAATACATGAGATCCTACATTTGTTGGAGGGGGAACAAATCATTTCTTACAAGAGTGTAAAAACCTCTCCTTAGTGGACATGTTTTAAAACCATGAGACTGATAGCGATGCGTAACAGGTCAAAGTGGATAATATTTACTAGCGTGGACTTGGGTTGTTACAATGGTATCAAAATCAGACATCGAGCGGTGTGCCAGTAATGGTGTTGGACCCCAAGGGGGTGGACTGTGAGATCCCACCTCAGTTGAAGAGGGGAACAAAACATTCTCTAAAAAGTTGTGGAAATCTCTTCCTAATAAATGCTTTTTAAAGAAGACAATATCGGTTACCGATAAGACTTGGGTGGTTGGTTCTAGATTTATTGTTTTGTTGCTTTCTATGACCCACGAAATGCCAACTTTTCTCATTCAAATGCCCCAAAAGTTTGATGAATATCAGCAAACACATGACCCATGGCAATAATTACAGGCATGGTTTTGCAGTTTGTTTATTCCACATTCCTTTTTGGTCACTAAAGCTTTTGACCACTGCAGATTGAGATTGTATCTTATCACTTACCCGCTTTGCAAATAGATCAAAGTAGGCTGTTCGGTTCATAGATGACAGTTTGGCCATCTTGAGATTCATCACTATCCGCAAAGATTTTTACAGGCTTGGATTCAAGAGCTGGCTCAATCAGACCTTCAGCCAGAACTACGGCACCAAGAATTTCCCCCAACAAAGTTTCCTCCAGCAGACCAATACGCTGTTATGACAGAAAATAACAGTCGATTTTCATATGAAATCCACAGGTTCTGAATCGGTATAATATATTGCGTAGAAGAGAAATTAACCAAACAAAAATTATGAAGAATAGGAGGAATTGAAGTCCTCTATGCAAATTAATAGGCAATTTCTTACCACATGCTTGTAATCGATGTATAATTGCTTCAAGTGTAAAGAGTCTTGACAGCAAACGATGGCAAAGACAAGATTGGATGTCCTTTTTTTTCCTGCAGAGAGTTTCTTAGACGTTTACAAATCAGCAACAAACAGAGTGAAGACATTTCGATTCCCGCCGCTCGCCTGCTTCACTCCCGGGCGCAGTCGAGGTGGTTCATCGTCGTAATCAACATTGTGGTAAGTTCAAACCTCTTTGATAGGTTCTTCTTCGTCATTCTAGTCTCATCGTTGCCTTGTGTTTTCCGCCATTGCGCTGTGTAGGTACCCTAGGGAGTGGCTGCCACCGCACGCTTCGCACTCTGTGTGGTCGAACGTCGTCGAGGTTGCAGTTCCTCAACAGCCGAAGAACGCGTGCCATCGCGGGGATCTAGTCATGAATCGCGAGGAGGGCTGTGAGGATTGGCCGGTTCGGTCTATGTGAGACCCGGTCCGGTTTGATGGTATGTTAAGTTAAACCTGTCAGTCCGGTTCAATTAAACCAGTTTGGTCTGCTCGATCCCTTATTTAAAGCTAGAATTTAATAGATTTAGCTTATTTAGAATTTAGCAAGAGGAGATTTTATAGACTTGTGCTTGTAACCTAAGGTACGGATATTAATTGACATGTTATAATATAAATTTATTATAATTACACATTATATGATCGGGTAATTAGCTACCATGGTCACCGTACATGGTGTACCTATGTTTTATTTCTTGGTTCAAGACTAGGGATTGATGTTTTGATTTTGGTCATATGTCGATGGTCCATGTTTTTTAGAACCAAATGCAAGAGTTCGGGTTGAGTCATCAATGTCTCTACGTTTCAGTTAGGTTCAAACTAGATGAGCTTAATCAAAGATAGGTCATAGGTTAATTGACTCCGAGTATGTATATATATTCCGGGAGTGACGGGAAAGATTTACTTGAGATGATAATATTGCTCTTTTTCTTTTCATTGAAATCATAGGAATGAGAAATTCATTAGCTGTGAAAATTATTACAAGACACTGGTGATGCAACTGCACTAATGTTAGGAATCCGACATCCTGTGCGACCCGAACCGAACTTTGAACTCCACCTTGTTAACGGGAAATTCGTATCGGCCGAACCCAAGTAGGACGATAATAATCAGCATCAAACAATATAATGATGATCCAGAGGCTTTTTGCTCAAAAACACAACAAAGCTATGTAGGTAATGGTGACCCTCTTGGCTTGGCAGTAAAACCAAGTTCTAGTAACATTCATTTCACCCTCGCCGGCCACAGATTGGCAGTTCTTGAACTCATTTTCAGCAGAACAAATGATGGATCAAAGCAGACTGCTTTTTCAAGTATTGATTACGCACCTGCGGATTGAAACAGCAAACTCGCCAACCTTGTGAGAATGAACTAAAGCTGCACATATTCCTAAACAAACTGCAGCGAAGGTGATTGCAAATAGAGCAGTCTGGCGCCTAAAAACAGTCCCTGAGAATAGAAGACCACATGACTTTCTTGAATTTTCTTGAACCATGATCTTTTCCCGGAGCTTTTCGTTCAAAAGGGGTCGTGTTTCCACACTACTGGTGGAAGTTGAACCAGACGCTGCTCGAAAATGGTCACTTTCTCCGGACTCCATTTTCTGCAGGTAAAAACAAACAGAAGAGATATAACCGAGCCATTCCTATGAAAATCCATGATGAATGTTACAGTCAACCAACTCCCTAGAAACAAATATTTTACAGGCCATGTTTCAAGCTTCACAATAGGATTCTACTACTGTTCTAGGAGGTATTTGATAGCTCAAATCTTCCAGGATGCTTAAGGTGGTAGGAGACTGTTATAAAATTTTGTCACGAGTAATTTTTTCTCAAGAAAGAAGAGTTTCTAAAAGAATGCAAAACTGGAGTCAAAATACCTAAATTAGTCGTATCTTGAAAAAATTTAACCTTGCAGAAAATATAGAAAAATTCTTACCAGTCCAGTCCCAGGATCAACTGAAGCCAATTTTTTCTTGGAGAAGCTTCGAGAAACCCGGTCCCTTCGAAGATTCAGTTGAAGAACAACCGTTGCATAATCCAAATACTTCTCAAAATACCTTAAATCGGGGTAACTGAAGCCATTAGCTGCCACATTTGATTCTACATTTCCCATGACAATCTTAAGATGTTCTAAGACTCTCCCTAAAATGACAGTTGAGTCGATGGATATCAAAAATTTCAACAAACGTGTGAATCTTTGAATCTGTGACGAATTCATAATACACTGCAGCGGCTCCGATGAAGGCTTCTTAAGCAACCAAGATATGTCCGTCACGAGTTCTGAATATACTTTTTGTCTCAATGAAGAATGTTCGCAATATTTGTGTGATGAACCAGTAGCTTCCACAGGCAGAGACATATCAAGCCGCTCCTGTATAGTTTTCATTTCAGAACAAGTTTCACTATCCCCGATGAGTATAGGAATAAAATTTGACAAGCCTGACTGATTCTCCACCTACACAGTGTGTTTACAGAAAGTTTATGAGTGGAATGCAAGAATAAACATATTAGAAGGCGAGACAAAACCAATATTTCCTTCTTAGTGGAATCCCACCTCTACAAGTCTAAATTTAATTTGGTTCTAATAACTTGATGAAATTTCTGTTTCCCTATCTCTTTTCTCAGTCATAGTCCTTTCTCTCTTTCTCTCTCTCTCTCTCTCTCTCTTGCATGTGTGCCCATAAGAGACAAACTTTAGGCAGTGTTAAGATGTTAGTTTAAAAATTGCTCAGAAAACATTTATCCCATGAAAATACATTTAGATAATTGTTTCTTAAAACTTGTTTCCATCTGATTTTATGCCAGGGGAGGATGGCAGGGGAAGATGAGACTAATGAATCAAAGAATATGAGATGGAAAACATAGACATACCTCAACAAATGCAGGGCCAAAAAGATCATCTTCAGTGTGAGGTATGCATATCTTGAACACTTGGTGGTTGCTCTGCTTAGTATCACCTTCTTTTTGACAATGGGGAATAACAAAAGATTGAACGTGTGCCAGATACTTGCCATCAAAAGATACAAGTGACCTGTGAGCATAAGTACTTTCTTCAGCATATATAATGAATTTTATTGTGCAGGTCATGGACCCTTTTCTTCGGCATGAATAGAGATACAATTGAACACAGAAACTCCACAGTACACAAAATATTTAAATTCCTTCCAGCCATACGTACAAGCATGCAATTTCTCACTGCTAGACCAAACTGATTAAACTGTCAGTTAAGCAATATGGGGCGGTTTGATTACGTAGTATTCTACCATTTAGCGCAGTTATGCTTTTTCTAAATATTTTTTGTGGTTTGGCTCTCAAACCAAGCCGAACCAAACCAATAACACCCATACGGAAAATTCATGTATTTGGACCTCACTCCACTCCAACGGATTAGGAATTAATCCAGACTTCGAAGAGTTTTTTCTTTTAAGTTTACCGGAAGAATCATTTGGACGCAAAATCCTTGAGACTTGGACCAAAGAGGCTGCCACTCCCCTTGAGGCATCCAAAAGTGTATTAAAATTTAGGTAAGCAACACCATTAAGAAGAAAAATATAGACATCGAAAGTCATTTATGGAAACAAAACTTGCAACTTGATAAAAGAATATAGAAATGTAAATGGATAGATAATCCATGAGCATATTACAGGAATAATGAAAGGAAAATTTAAGGGACAGTGAAGTAAAACCAAAATTCCAAATAACCAAGAAGAAGTGAGTTAGTAGCTAATCCTCTTTCCCTTTACTGAAAACCTCGTGATATTGATAATAATTTAGATATGACCGGAGAATCACGTAGAGGATCTTTTTTGGGGGTCAAATAAAATATGAAGTGAGTATAATTCTATTATTGTAATACCTAAATTTTGGTTGTTGCAAATGACTTCCACAAGCAACAAACTCCATGGGTTTTCCAGCCTCAAAGCATGTAGGATGTACATAGTGAAGTCTTGGAGCCTGCATATCCATCTCAATTTTCATTACACTACCCCCTGTACAATCAAATGAAAAATCCTCAGGAAAATATTAATAAATAAAACCTGCAAGAAAATTCAATAATCTATTTATTCAAAAAGTAATTTCTAAGATGACTCAATCTCTAGTGATGAGACAAAATCAAAGCCTTGTAGGAATCTTATTTTTTGAAGATATATAGAGTACACTAGTGATGAAACATGCTCTTATTCATGATGAATAAAAAAGTAAAATGATGGATTGTGGACACACCTTCCACTGCGCAAAAAATCATGTTGTTCAAATAAACAAGCAAGCTGCCCCTCCCCCAAAGCGGTCTTCCACGTGCAACTACAAAATTGTGCACGTGTGTCGTAGGATCTTCAAGTAACTGCCAGTAGTTTGATATAGTTTAAGAAAATTCAGTGACTAGCTTTCAGATAATTGTTTGAAAGAAAGCATGGAACCATGAGGGCAAGGATTCCAGTTAAAGACAACGTAATTATGAGTAGGGGCAGACATGCGGAAGCTGTTACAGGATATGATTAATCAGCTATCCTTAAAGAGTAAGCAGCTTGATATTAAACTGATAATTGCAGCCATCAGACTATAGGAAAGCAAAAATGCTACCAACTTATAACAAGCAAAGTTATATTTGAAAATATAAACTCAAAATCACCTTTATCCACATAAACTTTGGCATTGCAACAAATGCAGTCAGAATTACGCAACCAGGCCGAATATATCCCTCCAACTCAACAGGCATATTAGCCAACCATTCAAATATCTGCAACGGGTTTGTATTCAAATTAACCAAATTCTAATACCTTTGATGAACAAAATTATTCTTCATTAAGTACTAAACTGTAGAGATTAAAATACTTGGAGCCGAAGTCTTCTAGGGAACTCTGCAGGATTCCAATCATAAAGCTTGAATGATATTCGGCCTGTTGGACACTATAACAAAGTGATTTGGAATCATCTTACGTCCTAAAATAAACAGAAAATAGAGAGAGGGGGAAAATCTTTAAATCATCACCATTGATGAATATGTGCTTTTATTGTCGCAGTAGGATGAAGCAAGAGATTTGAAATTATCTTTTCCTGCATCCACTTGAGCTTCACCCATTGCCATAAAAGTTAACCCGCTCTCAATATTGCTCTGCAGGTCGGGAGCTGAACATACAGTGGGGGTAACCATCCCATCTTCAGACTCCAAATGCACCACCTCCTTTTGAACAGTTTGGTTATTGAAAACAATATCATCTGCAAGAAAACATGCCAGTGAGAAATCCAATGATACAGCAATCATAAGATTCATAACTCTGCTGCTTCAGCTGCTTCAGATTATTACCTTTCCCTGCATCACCATCGCAAGAAACATCTTCAAGATGCATGCCTGCTCGATCACTTTCCATAGCAACTGTGGAATCAGCTGGCTTCCTACGTCGTCGATTGTTGTGACGCTCCAATTTTCTTCGACAACTCCGCTTGCCTTCATCAAAATCAGATAAAAGATGAAACCTGCCAAGCAATTGGAAGTAAACAAGAAACATTA